AAATAAAAATAAGAAGACCTTAAAGCCTTATTACACAAGCATGAACGTACCTGCTCCTTTAACCATTTTAGCACATGATTGCTTTGATAAATTTTCCCTCCAGTGTCACAAGAAGGGCACCCAGTAGAAGACAGAGGCCCCACAGTATGTGGAAGCTGCATTCATTACCCTCTACTAAAGCTTATTCTTTAGTTAGAATGTTATAAGAATGGCAAATGGGCTGCAATGATTGTCACTGATGTAAACAGACAGATAGAATTTAGCTCAAAATCCCTACCTCCAGTGGTTTTAAACCATTTTGTTTTCTAATGTCTTGTCTGAATCATGCAACCTGTTAATTAATAACAGCTGATGGTACAGGCAATACATAATTTAATTAAAAACAAACTATTCAATGATTGGTACCTGTACCTGGTCACCCCACTAATCTCACACAATGACCATTGTGACTGTTCACTTATTAATATTTGTTCTTTACTATTAAATTAAATATTCAAAACATGGACAATTCCCTTGCAATGCTTCTTTTATTCTTTTAGACTTAAATAAGGATAACATTTTTGATGATGTTTGTATAATGTGTTTGTAGGCTCCAATCTATAAACATCATCACATCAGATTTTTATTACTGAGTTAATTAGTATTTGCACAGCAACTCTGTGGCAAGCAATTACTCTATTGGAGAGGGGTGCAGATTAGAGTTGAGTGGACACCTGGATGTTTGAAAAAAAGTCTGGGTTCGAACTTGACTCCGAACCCCATTGAAGTCAATGGGGATCCAAACTTTTGGGCACAAAAATGCCTCTAAAAACTCCTGGAAAGGGCTAGAGAGCTGCAAAAGGAAGTAAAATGGGGGTAAGAGTAGGGCAAGTGCCCTGCAAACAAATGTGGATAGGGAAATCACTTTAAATAACATAAAAAATTAAAAATACAGCTGAGCTATAAAATAGCTCTAGATGGAATCTTTGATTTTAGCTTTGGAAGAACATACATCAAAATCTAAAGCATGGCTGTCAGGAGAATCACCACAATTATCCATTTGAGAGAGGGTTGGAGTGCAGGGTATTCTCTTTCATTGTTGAAACTGAGCTCATCTCCTGATGCATGGAGAAAAGGCCTTCACAAGCCTCTGCTATTGTGTACATAGTTGATACTAAGTGACCCATAGGTTGAGGAGGCGGTGACCGTGGCGGTGTAGGTGGAAGCAGCAGTGGAGGAGGAGGAGGTAGCCAACACTGTTTTTTATTTGTTTTTTTTGTTTTTTGTTTTTTTTAATTGGGGTAGTCCCCAAAATATTGGGACATATAAAAAAATAAACATTTGCGGCCTGCGGTGCATTTCTTGCAGTACTGATGCATGGAGAAATGCTCAACTCCTGATGCATGGAGAAAAGGCCTTCACAAGCCTCTGCTATTGTGTACATCATTTATACTAAGTGACCCATAGGTTGAGGAGGCGGTGACCGTGGCGGTGTAGGTGGAAACGGCCGTGGAGGAGGAGGATGAGGTAGCCAACACTGTATAAATATATCTATTTTTTATTTTATTTGGGTAGCCCCCAAAATATTGGGACATACAAACAAAACACAACTCTGTTCCGCAGAGTAGCTGTTGACATTATAGTTACGCAAGCACTTTGTTGACTCTAGAGAACCTCGGGCCAATCGCACATCCCCGTGACGGCGACTTTGCGTTCGGATGTCATCCATATCAATTTTCGATGCCAGTTTCTGTGCTTACCATAGTGACCACGGGTAATGGGGAATCAGGGTTCCGTACAGAGACCCTGAGAAAAGGCTACCATGTGCAAGGAAGGCAGCAGGCGTGGAATTGACCCACTCCCGACGCGGGAAGGTACTGACGACAAATAACAATACAGGACTCTTTAGAGGCCCTGTAATTGTAATAAGTCCACTTGAAATCCTTTAACTCTGATCAATTGGAGGGAAGTCTGGTGCAGAGCCACTGACCCGTGCGTGCTGCAGCTGAAACTTCACTATCACCTGCTGCTGCTCGCACAGTCTCATGAGGCGGTGAGCGGGAAGGCCGATGTTACGCTTCAGCGCAGACAGGCGAGCAGCAGCAGGGTGACAACGCAAGCCGCTACAGTGAATGTCACATCCTGTTCCAAGTTGCGGATCAGTCTGGTGATGGCTTCTGGTATCCAGTACTCTTTTTACTGAAGCTGCATCAGGGTCCTGGTATGTGGCCGCACAAACGCTGGTGCTCAACACCAGGGGGCGTGCAGTTACCCTGCACCAGACCCTGCTAATCCATTCCACACTGTGACTCCTAACTTCAACATCAGGCATACTGGGTCCCGGTCATCTGACCGGTGCCCAAACAGTGTCTTGGTCCCGGTCACGGGACTGCCCTCCTGACTGTAAAACTGCGAATGGCTCGTTAAATGTTATGGTTCCTTTTATCGCTCCATCTGTTACTTGCATAACTGTGGGAAATCTTAAGATAATACATGTCGACGAGCGCTAGGGGACGGCCGCTCTGCTTTTGCACCCTGCTCCCTCTTATGCTGTGCTGGTGCACACATCACTCGCATGACCTTGAATCCATGTGGGGTCTAGGACCTCATCATCCTTCACATCATCTTCCACCCACTCCTCAACCCTGCCCTCCTTGCCGGTATGCACACTGCAGAAAGCCACAGGAGTTGGCACCTGTGTTTTTCCAGCATGTAAAGTCTGCAAAGGACATATGGAATTTGTTTTAGAATTTCCTCCGGGCAACAGTTTTCCCTATAAACTGACCTCTCAGTTTGACTTGTGAGGGTATTGCCCCAGAATTACAATATTGTTTAAGTACCTCTTAGCTATTTATAACTAGTTTAAATATAACAACTTTTTATCTGGTAGTTTCTAGTGTAGAAAATATCAATCTGTTTTCTATCACTTAGATCTGTGTGTTGTAGGTGTGAAACAATATTACAAGTGACCGATGTAGTAAATTCGAATCAAAGTTACGCTTCGATTTGACTCTCAGATATGAAGTGCACACCCCAAATATACTATTTAGCACCAAAAAATTGTCTTTTTAAAACTCCAATGTAAGCAGCAGATTAGCAGCTAAACAATTAGAATGTTTACAACTACGCAGTAAGCGCACTATTTGACGCTTCTATTTGACTCTCAGATATGAAGTGCACTGCAGGCCGCAAATGTACTATTTAGCAGACCAGCAGCAAAACAATTTGAATGTTTACAACTGCGCTGTTAGACGCTATTAGACGCTTATATTTGACTTTCAGATATGAAGAGCAGGCCCCAAAATGTACTATTTAGCAGATTAGCACACACAAAATAAGAATGATTACCGCTGCACTGTAAGCACACTATTAGATGCTTCTATTTGACTCTCAGATATGAAGGGCAGGCCCCAAAATGTGCTATTTAGCAGATTAGCAGCAAAACAATTAGAATGTTTACCACTGCGCTGTAAGCACACTATTAGACGCTTCTATTTGACTCTCAGATATGAAGTGCACCCCATTAAAATACTATTTAGAAGTTTACCACCCAAAATATTTTAAGTTTTAAAACTGCAATGTGACAGCAGTATTTGACGCTTCTGTTTGACTCTCAGATTTGACTCTCAGATTTGAAGTGCACCCTACTAATGTACATTTTAGCACCCAAAACAATTTACTTTTTAAAACTCTGATGTAACCGCAGTATTTTACGCTTCAATTTGACTCTTAGATATGAAGTGCACCCCACCCCACTAATGTACTAGTTTGCAGAATTCTTTCCTAAGCTGTTCCTATCCCTACACTAATAAGACCTCATGTGCGTGCAGCGCTACGTGACTCCAGCTTATATATAGAGTCTGGGTCACAGGCTGCACTGGCCAATCACAGCCATGCCATTAGTAAGCATGGCTGTGATGGCTTCTAAGGGCACATGAGTCAAACGCAAAAGAAGTGCTTTATGTGTGAAGATTTCAATAGAAATTTGCACTTTTAAAAATTAACCTTGGTACATCTGACTGTCAATCCATCAGACAAACAGTCCTGTTACTTACTGGTTATTTAGCTCAGTGGAGCTAAACTCAAAAAGACTTCTCATTGAGCTGTATTGGGATGTATGTGATTGGACAGCCACAGAAAGACTGGACTGGGGAAGAAGAGGAGGGCTTGGAAAGGCAGTGGAGAAGAGATCTGCAGGTTATGCAACCTGGTTTTAGTTATACTCACAATGAAAAAATGCATAATTAAATAAAAGTGTGTTTTCAATGGGGCTATTTTTACGAAACATTGTTTTTTAATTTTTTTATTTTGTATTTAGGCAGTGGAGGGTCCCTTCAAGAATTCTGATGAGATTTATCATGGTAAAGGAAGTGATTTCTAGGTGTAAAATATTAAATGCTGAGATATAAAAAATATTTTAAAAAAATACAGTATATTGAGACCAAATGATCAAAGGCATTAAAATTGTATTGATGTCACTTTAAATTTGCAGTGCTTTCTACACCAATACATGTTGGAACCTAACACAGAGGCATATTGTCCTGAAACTGAAATTTCACACTACGTTCTGAATTATATTAATAGAACAATCTATACTACACATCTAGCCAGTTTAAATCAATGAATACATAGGTGATTTACTAAAGATTATTTTTTTAATAGAAAGTGCCTTAGCATTTGCTGAATAAAAGTACTTTGAATTGTATAGTGTAATGAACTATCACATCCGATTATACAAATACTGCATTGCATAGAGGGAGAAAAGAAACAAAATCAAGTATAGATACTGTAAACAAGTAATATTGCTAATCTTGTAATAAGTATCAATGTGGCTCACATGTGACCGATCAATGTAGATTTTTGTGCATAGCAATACCCTGGTGGTGATATTTACATGGATAACTTAATTAGCTATACCATTGTAATCTTAAATCAAATGATTTCCCTTTGAATAGAGGACCGGTGCATATTTATAGCTTGTTGTAGCAGAAATAGAAACAGCAGCATTACAGATAACCAGAATGGATCGTAGCTCTTATAAACACTACCATCTGGATCCCATAGATACCAGGAAGTTTTTTCACACTTATTTTTCTGGAAAATCGGATAAAATTATTATTGATGAGATTGTGAAATATCCAATGGAAATTCTTCACAAAGAGTTTAAATCAGGTATGTCCATTGAGTCTCTCTCTCTCTCTCTCTCTCTATTTCTCTCTCTCTCTAATTTATACTAAGCTTTAAATCCCATCCTCAAGACACACCATTAGGATACGTTGCAATAATTTCCTATCTCTTTTACAATGCCATACTGGCAAAACCTGGACTTTTGGTATGACAAATAATTACAACATGACAAGTACTATCCATGGTAGAATATTAGATGTCTTTCCTAAAATATTATTTTCAGGGAACATTAAAGGTGACACCTTCATAGATATATCAATTGGTTCAGCGATTTTCCATCTGCTTCCTGTGTGTGACCATTTCAAAGAAATCACTATTCTAGAAAGCAATGATCAATGTCTGGAAGACATAGTTAAATGGATGAAAAAGGATGCAGATGCTTTAGACTGGTCTCATGCATCAACTCATATGGCAAAACTGGAAGAAGAAAAAAGGTAAAGAACAAACCTTTCATTTTAGCCAAAGGCAAACTTGTATTTATGTTTAGAATTTTCAATGCATACCATAGCTAAAATATAAAATCTTATGAGGACTAAAACAGTAACAATTTGCATGCCTTTATGTAAATCTGATTTAACATATATTGCATTCTTATTGAATGGAAATACTTGCACATAAATTTGTGTAATGTTAGACTAGCCTATCTACAACAATGTCCTTTTTACCTCTTAAACTCTTTTACTTACATGGAAAAGAACTTAACGCAGTCAAAATCAGTTTATATTCATTCAGAATTTAGAATTTTAACTTTTATGTAAAAAAAATAATCCCTTTATTATTTTAAACAAAGCTTATGTATATTATAGTCCCCATGTATGTTATCCTGACTTACCCTTGCTACATGAAACAACAGTCTTTAAATCCTTATGGTCAGAAGTACTGTTTATCCATGCAAATAGCATGCAGGTAAAAAGTTAGGGATCATTCACAAATCCAAATGTCACACGCAAGTGATGGGCATCTCAAAAATGTGCTCCGAGCCTGTTTCAGATCTTAAAATCTCTCATCATCATAGCAGATATGGGGTTGCTTGTGACCAAAGAGAATTGAGTTAATGATTTTTCCAACAGAGTAAGTAAAACGAGGGTATGCATACTGTCTTTCTGTCCAGGGTTTAGTGCAGGTGCTCTGAGCATTCACTATTTATCAGGGCAAATTATTGTTTAATTCTGAAAAAAAAAAAAAATTCAAAAAGGAAAGATCTGGCAGTGAATACATAAAACAAAATGAAACAGTACAAACAATAAATAACAAAAATAAGTACAGGTGATACTCGAAAAATGTGAATATCGTGCAAAAGTTAATTTATTTCAGTAATGCAACATAAAAGAGAAAAATAATATATGAGATAGACGCATTACATGCAAAGCAAGATAGTTCAAGCCGTGATTTGTCATAAGTGCGATGATTATGGCTTACAGCTCATGAAAACCCAAAATCCACAATCTCAGTAAATTAGAATATTGTGAAAAGGTGCAAAATTCTAGGCTCACAGTGTCCCACTCTAATCAGCTAAGTAAGCCATAACACCTGCAAAGGGTTTCTGAGCCTTTAAATGGTCTCTCAGTTTGGTTCAGTAGGAATCACTGGACTGAGGCTGGAGTCAGTGCATCAAGAGGCACCACACACAGACGGATCCTGGACATGGGCTTCAAATGTCGTATTCCTCTTGTCAAGCCGCTCCTGAACAACAAACAACATTAGAAGTGACTTACCTGGGGTAAGGAAACTTTTGCACCTCATTTGGAAACCAAGGACCCAGAGGCTGGAGGAAGAATGGAGAAGCACACACTGCAAGATGTTTGAAGTCCAGTGTGAAGTTTCCACAGTCTGTGTTGATTTGGGGAGCCATGTCATCTGCTAGTGTTGGTCCACTGTGCTTCAATAAGTCCAGGGTCAATGCAGCCATCTACCAGGAGATTTTGGAGCACTTCATGCTTCCTTCCACAGACGAGCTTTATGGGGATGCTGACTTCATTTTCCAGCAGGACTTGGCACCTGCCCACACTGCCAAAAGCACCAAAATCTGGTTCAATGACCATGGGATTACTGTGCTTGATTGGCCAGCAAACTCGCCTGACCTGGACCCCATAGAGAATCTATAGGGCATTGCTAAGAGAAAGATGAGAGACATGAGACCGAACAATGCAGAAGAGCTGAAGCCGCTATTGAAGCATCCTGGTTTTCCATAACAACCCAGCAGTGCCACAAGCTGATAGCTTCCATGCCACGCCGCATTGAGGCAGTAATTGCTGCAAAAGGGGCCCAAACCAAGTACTGAGTCCATATGCATGCTTATACTTTTCAGAGGTCCGATATTGTTCTATGTACACTCCTTGTTTTATTGATTGCATGTAATATTCTAATTTACTGTGATTGTGGATTTGGGGTTTTCATGAGCTGTAAGCCATAATCATAGCACTTATGACAAATCACGGCTTGAACTATCTTGCTTTGCATGTAATGTGTCTATCTCATATATTAGTTTCCCCTTTTACATTGCATTACTGAAATAAATGAACTTTTGCACGATATTCTAATTTTTCAAGTATGACCTGTATGTTGCTTAACCCCTTAAGGACACATGACATGTCTGACATGTCATGATTCCCTTTTATTCCAATGATGTGGTTGTATACAAGTCGAGTTATAGTAATGGTTGTGTAAGTCAGTTGTGGTGTGCCAGAACCAACGTTCGGGTAGGCCTGTAAAAGAGGGCAAAAAGTTTAACAGCTTAACACTTAATACGTGTTGACATTACATAACCAATACTTAATGCATGTATCAATTCCCTCAGGTTGAGGGATATATATGGCATATGCAGATAACTCTACTGTCCTAGTTATTAGATGATATGTTCTGGGATATTACTAGAGGTAGTAAGAGCAGCGCATATTCTTTTAGAATGACCTGAAAATGTTAATGGTTATATTAGAGTAACTGTGTTGTAAGCTAGTTAAAGGTTGAGGTGGCAAAAAATATGTGAATGCCTTCATGGAATAGAATGAGTACGGTTTGATGAGTTCATATGTGGAAGTGAGTTTATTAAAAATGGCCAGAGCCCAGCGCATGAACAGGTGGCATTGGCAGAGAGTGTTGCGTGTGCCAGCTATTACATCCTGGATTGTAGGGGTTTAGCAGGTCATTTGGCCACAGTGGGGAGAGTTCAGAACAATACGAAAAACTGTGATTGAGTTACCTCATCAGTTGCTATGGTGTGACAGCTTGGTATGGGTATGTGAACAAAGTAGAGTTTCTGTGATGCTGCCAGCCACATCTCTTCCAAATCAACCTTATTATTGCTAGTAAATAGGATGGTAATAATTCCCATTCTACTGATTTACTAAAAGGTAGGTTCTGCGTCACTATGGGAAATGTGTCATGGACCCAGTTAACTATGAAATCGGCTGAAATCCAATGTGGGTGGCTGTATTAGTCCAGAAATGAGGGACTATGGTAGAGTAACCATGGTTTCCCTATTCTGGAGGGATAGAAAGTTTAGTGACATGAACAGGACTTCTCAAGCATATGTCAAATGTAACCACGCTATTGTTGACAGGTGAACCTGGGAGCAGGATGAGTGGATGGGAAATGAATGAGCTCCATTGTGTAAGGTGTATGGTAACATTCAGCAGACCAAGGAGAGACTGGAGATCCATATGGGAAACAGGCATCATTGCTCAGAAAGGATTTTCCCTTTCCTTGATATGCTGGACTTAGTCTGCGGGGAGGCTGAACAGCAATGAAATCAAGTCTAATGTATTTCCATGAATTAAAATTGGTGTAGGGGCCCAAGGTTGATCGAGACAGCAGAGTTCCAAAGGATGTACCAGATACACAAGACACATCTGCTTCATGGTATGGCATTGGGTTCCATAATCGTTACACTCATGCCTACTATGACACCTGTTATTAGAAACTCAACTAAAGGAGGGGGAAGTGTGAGTATTGAGGGAGACGGCTCTTAGTGACAAAACATGAGAACGAATACGGAATAGTCAGATTGTATAATCTGTGTTCCCTAGCTTTGAACTACTGACATGTCTTGTAGCTATGTCTTTCCCAAGGACAGGAGAACTTACTGTACAGATAATAACATTAGACTAGGAAACATGTGCAACTGGCAGTGTAACGCTGAGGGGATGGAAGTTAGAAGCATGATGTAGGGTACTACATGGGATGGTAAGATGTCAAAAATCAGGAAATTCTAAACATCACCAGTGTCAACAATTGTTCATAAGGATGAAAGGATGGGAGCCATGATGGCCTACATCCCTGTCATGCTGTCTGTTTTTCCAGCTTGGGTGCTGACACAAGGTAGGGGAGCCCAGACCTAGAAATCTGAGTCTGTACAGCACAGTTTTCCAAGCCAAAGAAGGGAATGGCACGCCTTTATGTCGAAGCTCAGCGGTAAAAGTGGAATGGTACAAGATCACCAGGAACTGGGGCAACCGGGTTATGGCTGGAGTGCATGGACTAGGTGGGGTGAATGGTTTGGCTGGGGAGCCTGGATTGAAATATCTTATTAGTTCTGAATTGGGCAACATCTATATGTAGAGTAAATATGATAGTCATGTAATTGATAGTATAACAACTGGTGGCTTGCATAGTGTTGAGTGGCGAAAAATAATCTAAATCAGGGAAAGGTGAGGCCCTACTAAGTGCCAAGTAACTCCGAGAGGCTCTAGCTATGAATTGGCAGAGGGACTGAGGCCACCAAACGATGTGGCAGGAATGTTGACCTCTCAGTGACAAGTAAGAGATTCAAAGGAGTGGCCATGACATGTGAGGCCCTATCTAAAACCTAGAGAGATAGGAGCAAGACTCTAGCTATGAGTTGGATGAATACCTCAGCATGAGGATAGGTGTAGGCCTCGCACAACTGAATTACAAAGATACATTAATATGGCCCACACCAATACTCTTAACAGCCAGTTGATCTATCCCTAAGGAACATAGAGGAATAAAAAAAATTAATGAATTAATAGAATCTTGCCCAACTGGTGTGTGGATGAGCTTGAGAAAGGAAAATCATGGAGAGGAACCTAATGGGAACATTAATGGAAATATGTACAGTATGGTAAGTGCTTATTGAGGTAAGCGTATAAAGTACCTGTGCTGTGGTTAAGGATTTAAACATTAATAGTATGATAAGCAGTGATAGTAGAAACCTAGATAATTATAAAACTTATGATTGTCAATATGGATATAAAAGCGATACCTAGTAGTGCTGTGTCTAATTATGTGGTCCCACTCTGCGTTCTTCCACAAGAAGGACTTGAAGTATTTATGAGAAAGATCAGACCATCTCTAGTTTACTAGCAGGAAGCAAAATATGTAAGGTCTAGTAAGTGCCTGTGACAGGAGTTGTGTATTATACAAGGCCTAGGTAAAACCGTGACAGACCGAGGAGGCCAGAATATGGTTAAATGTGTAAGGAGAGGTTCTTGGTTCTCAGGAATGCAGAGAGAGATACATGGGCATAACAAGGCTGAGAGGAATAGTCAACCATAGTATGACAGGGTTGTAGATGAAACTGGAATGTTGTATGTAATTTCCCAAATGTGTGGCAGAACTTGTGTCATAGTGGATTGCCCACAGAGGGCTGTATATAGTGTATGGAGTGAAGGCCGCGTGTAGAGGTATTGGAGCGGAAGGCTAATATTACCAAATGTGTGCCACGAACTGCCGGGTGTATAATAGGGTGTATTTGAAGTAATGATTACGGCATGAACAAATGTAGGTTAATTGTACCAAAGTTGTAGAAATGTACTGTTAATTGCATGGACAGTAGTGGTGATCTGGTATTCGAACTGGTTTTATTTATTTTTATTTTTACACTGAGTGGTGTACTTAAATACAGTATAGTAAGGCAAAATATAATCCCCAAGCGACAGGAAGGCAAAAGTTAGGTCCCACCTGGGACCGTATGAAGCTTATGTAAGTGAAGGCCTAGTGAGATCTGATTGCCATTTAAGGGCAGTATGATAATTAGTGCGTGTATTAAGTGATATGATGTGAGTTGGTTAATAGTTGTTAAACTGGTTGCAATTTACACATAGTGATGCAATTTGGCAGACCTGCTCCATATCATATTGTATATATAACCAACTTGACCTGTAAGAGGCCCATACTAGTAGGATTGTTAATTAGATATGATAATGAGGAGACACTTGAGTAACATGGCACTAATCCTAGTAGGTTGCCCACTCAGGGCCATATAAAGCATATGTTGTGGAAGACCAAGTGAGGGCCTAATATAAACATATGTGTGATGTCCTGCATCTCTCATGGGGACTTAATAATTTCAGCTACTTGTTTTTTCTTTTTTTTTCATACATGAAAGGTTGTGCCTTTTTTGCTGGAAAGGTTGTGCTTTTTTATATATATATATATATATTTTGTCTAACTTTTCGTAACATTGTAATTCACCACAATTAATCAGCATATCACAATTTAGTGAATAAAACCCAAAAGGATAATTTGTTGTTTTTATTTTCCAGTGGCAAATGGGAAGAAAAAGAAGAACTTCTAAGAAGCCGGGTGAAACGCATACTGAAATGTGATTTTACCAAAGAAATCCTGACAGACCCTGTTGTTTTAGATAAAGCTGATTGCTTGATGAGTATGTGTATAATGCATTTTGTGCACAAAGACCACGACTCTTATCGTGCAGGAATGAAAAAGGTAGCATCGTTAATCAAACTAGGTGGACATCTGGTAATGATTGGGGGGTTTAATACTAGGTACTGCACTGTTGGGGAAGACAAGTTGCATATGCTGTCTTTTGATGAAAACTTTATGCTAAGTAATTTGAAAAGTATTGGCTTTTCTATCGAGAGCTTCCAGAAGACAATGAGCAAATTAAGTGGTGGAATGATAGATTATGATCACATTTGGTTTGTCAGAGCAGTGAAAATGTGGGAGCTTTAGACCTGTAAAATCAAACATTTTGCAAAATTATTCACTAACAGTCATTCTTTAAAGTGTGCATTGTTGGGAATTCACATTTATTTAAATGTTTAGGTCAAAAGTCAAATTTGAAAGCATATATGACAAGGGGGCAGAATCGTACATATATATCACAGAATATATCTGATAATAAATTAAATAATTATAATCTCAATAAAAATATAAGTTTTCTGCCTTTTTATTATCCTGTTTACTCTACTTTATAGTTTTTAAAATTTGTATTTGTGAGGTGTGAAAGATAAAATGAAATATATAAATCGACACCTCTAACATGATGCTGGGAGCTTCCATCTTATTCTCCATTTAATCTTTGTTATAAGCAATGTTTTTTTTCACCTGGCTGTCAGCAACGAGAAAGCATAGAGAGATGTTGAGAAATTAAAAAAAATTCTTCTATTCTTCTCATCGCATCACAAATCACACAAGTTATAGGTGATTTTACATGTTTAATCATTGGTGGAATTTCTACAATAGTGATGTTCCCATTAATTGTGTGAGCATTTAATTATTATTATTAATTATTATTATTGTTGTTTATAAAGCACCAACAAGTTCTGTAGAGCTGTACAATGGGTGGACTAACAGACAAGTATTTGTAACCAGATGAATTTGACGCACAGGAACAGAGGGGTTGAGGGACATCTTACATGCTAGAGGGAGTGGGGTATAGCAACACAAAAAGGTAAGGGTTGGGTAGAAAAGTAGGTTGTGAGGATAGTATTCATTGAGGGCTTAGTGTTTTGTTTTGATGACAGTTTCAGGAGGGGAATCAGGTTGCGGGGAGGGAAAGCTGTTCACAGTTTAATTGATATTTTTTCCTAAAGAAGTAAGTTTTTAAAGATTATATGGATGAGTGGAGATTGGGTGAGAGTCTAATAGAGAGGGGTAGGGTGTTCCATAGGAAAGGTGCAGTCCCAGAGAAGTCTTTAAGATAAGCATCAGAGGTAGGAGTAGGAACAGAGGTTAGACGTAGATGACCTGTTAATGGCCTACGTGTTTAACTTATAATTAGAAGTTGCCACGATTTCTAGTGTTCATCCTTATAGTATATCACTACTATCTAAGTGTTGTGCTCCTACTTGCACTTATCTTCATTAAAGGGACACTATAGGCACCCAAACAACTTTAGTTTAATGGAGTTGTTTTGGTGTATAGATCATGCCCCTGCAGTCTCACTGCTTAATTCTCTGCCATTAAGAAGTTAAATCACTTTTTTTTTTATGTAGCCCTAGTTACACCTGCATGTAACTTGCACAGCCTTCCTAAACACTTCCTATAAGAAGAGATATAATGTGTATACTTCCTTTTATGCACATTCTGTTTAATTTAGAATTTCTTATCTCCTTCTCTGTTAATAAACTGTTCTGTCCTTCTGGAGCCTCCATTGTGTGTGATTAAAGTTAAATTTACAGAGCATAAGATAAAAACGTCTAAAGCAAGTTAACATCTAATTGAAAATTAAAACATGTTGTTCATGCAGGCTGTGTAAGTCACATCCAGTGAAGGTATGGCTAGGGCTGCATAAACAGAAACAAAAGTGATTTACCTTGTAAATGGCAGAGAATTGAACAGTGAGACTTGCAAGGACACAATCTATACACCAATACTGCTTCATTAAGCTAAATAGTTTTTATTCCTGTAGTATCACTTTAATGTAAATAAGTGAAAGTAGGGGCACATTACTCAGATGGTAGTGATACAATATAAGGATGAACCATGCAAATTATGGCAACTACTATATACCAACTAAGTTGGAAATGAAGGTTAACAACAACAGGACATCTAGTGTGGCAGTAAGACTTACAATAAAAGTGGAAAAACTTAAGCAATGGAAAAATCAAATGATAGTTTTTGGTTTTTTTTGTTGCAATTTTTATGGTTTTACAATGTGTACAGATTTACATTCCAGTAAGCGTTACAATATGCACATGCTATCAGTTCACATTTTTGAGATGAAAGATTCTTAAGTTACACCATACTTTGTTACATCATACATATTATAATTATTTCAGCTCTTTATTCCAGATGAGCTCTAGTGGTGGTGCTGTTTGTGCTCGTTTCTGGTCTTAACTTAGAAATGTACTGTACTTTCCTAATGGTGTTTGGGATTGGTATGGGGGGTTGAACTTGGAGGTAGAACCAGGATACTGTTCCCCAAAGAACTGGGGAAGGGGGGGGGGGAGTAGGGAAGAGGGTTGACCCTTGTTGCCTCTACCCATTTTATATGCGTTCTCATTTTGTGTCCTTTATCTTGGTGCATCATTTGTGGTTTTCCGTGACACTACCATTCGTTATTGTTCATTATTGTTTGTTGTCATTGGAGCCTTTACTCTGTATTAGTGGGTTTGTGGCATGTGTTGGTGCCTGTTCCACCTTTCCCACGCTACCCTCCAGTATGCCTGTGGGGGTCTATGCGCTCTAGCCGCCATTTCATACTTTTTTGTATCTTCAATTTGTTGAATGCATTCATTTATGTGCGGAGATTTTGTTTGCAACCATTTTCTGCTTATAGTGCGGCGGAAGTAATGTGATATATTAAGTATCTGTCAGCTTTTTTAATGCTAGTTGGTAGGCACTGGATGATGTAGTGTTCAGGTGCTTGTGGTAGGTTAGTCTTGGTCACCTTTTGTATTAGGGAGTGTATGTCTGTCCAAATTTTCCCCAGATATGGGCATGTCCACCACATGTGCAGCATTGTTCCTGTGTGTTTGTTGCAATATGTTTCATTCGTGTAGGGACTAAGTACCAGCGGTACAGTATTTTCCTACTTATTTCCAAATGGGACGTGTTCAGTGTTAGGGTTTTGTTTGTGCAGAGTATGTGTGCCCATTGGTCGTCCGTTAGTCTCTTACCCAATTCTGTTTCCCAAGCTTGGACAAATGTAAGGTCATGTGGGGATTTTGTTAGATAGTTTTGATTGTATTTCTTAGATAATGGATGTGAAGGATGTTTGTTTTGTAGGCACATTTGCTCTAGGGCTGTAAGGTTCGTCCACCTGTCTTTTGAGGGAAGTAAATGTCTGTTTTCCCAGCCACTGGCTGTGGCATGACCTCAAGAAAGTGATTCCCACCAGACATCTCAAGAATATTGCTGAACTGAAACAGTTCTGTAAAGAGGAATGGTCAAGAATTACTCCTGACCGTTGTGCACGTCTGATCTGCAACTACAGGAAACGTTTGGTTGAAGTTATTGCTGCCAAAGAAGGTTCAACCAGTTATTAAATCCAAGGGTTCACATACTTTTTCCACCTGCACTGTGAATGTTTACATGGTGTGTTCAATAAAAACATGGCAACATTTCATTCTTTGTGTGTTATTAGTTTAAGCAGACTGTGATTGTCTATTGTTGTGACTTAGATGATGATCAGATCACATTTTATGACCAATTTGTGCAGAAATCCAAATCATTCCAAAGGGTTCACATACTTTTTCTTGCAACTGTATGTATAACTTGTGGCATAAAAAAGAAAAATCTTAAGTCTAAAACTTATTGTACCTTATGTATTTATACCTTATGTATCATAGGTGTTGAAGACAATCTGTAACATAGCATATTATACATTACATATTTATAACTTGTGGTGTAGGAGACTTTAGATCTAAAACTTATGCTTTGTGTCACCTGTGCAGCACTCTAGGCATTGTACGCCATGGGCTTCTTAGACACTGCGCTAGTGCTATAGTATGCCTGACTGTCCAAATATCCCAATAATCTCCCTCCAATGGTCTAGATGCCCTGGCGCGTCACACAGACGACATCTATTGACTTATATTTATCAACTAAATAACGCAACATTTTTAATTTTTTTTTTTTATTGAGTCAGTACACCAGCTCTTTGGTGGCTCTACCCTTTCCTGGGGAGGTATGGTGTATTAGTTACTTGACTGTTCCTACAGTTGCACTTAGCATTTTTATGTTGTGTAAGATGCAGGTTGCTTTGGGTCATAAGATAGGAGAGTGGAGATTAATTGGCAGTAATAACCCTTAGTAAGTAATTTACATGGTCTCTTACTGTGGGAAATGTGAACTACATGTTGCTTAAAGTACAGGTTGTTTACATCATTAGGTGGGGGAGTAGAAAGCAGATTAGCAGTAATAATTCTTAGCAGTTAATGTACATTGTCTCTTACCATAGAGAGATTGAACCTTATGTTGCTTAATATGCAGGTTGCTGTAACCCATTAGGTGGGGGAGTAGAAAGCAGGTTACCAGTAATAATCCTAGGCAGTTAATTTACATGGTCTCATACCATAGAGAGATTGAACTGTATGTTGCTTAATATGCAGGTTGCTGTAACCCATTAGGTGGGAAAGTAGAAAACAGTTACCAGTAATAATCCTTAGTAGTTAATTCAGTCTGAACTCCTACAAATTTGGAATATGCATGCCCCGCTGCGTAAGGTGAGGGTAAAAGGAGCACATATGAACTGGATCACAGCTGACCATTTTATGTGCTCTTTTATATGATAGTAATGAATGCGCATCAAGACATCTCGCAGAGCTGTTACAGGCAAGAATCTTGGCCTTGGAAGCCGATGCACTCTATGAGTATCTCTGGGACATATGCATGAAGGAGATCTCTAACATGGTTTGTAGGTTTTCTGGTATTTTTGATTCTGGTATCCCTCTGAGGCGCAGATTATTTCTGCGCGACCTATCCTCCAGGTCAGTTAGTTTCAGCTCAGTAGCGGTGAGCTTTTGTTCGATCTGTTCCACGTGTGTGGCCAGATCGTTATGTGCCTGAGCAAAGTCCTCCGTTTTAGATTCAACATGTGATGTCTTTTTACCCAGTTCTTGAACACCTTTCCTTAATGAGTCCATTGAATGCTGCCAAGTTGTAATCATCTTCTGTGACAGTGCATCCAGTGCCTGCTGTAGGTGACTTTTTGTGAGCTTGTCAGGGTCTGGATCTATCTCAGTCAGAGTGGGGCACTCTGTGCTGTCAGAGCTGGCTCCGCCATC